CATCTGACGGAGAGTTTGATTGTTTACATCGTCACTGAGAGATGAGAATCCTTCGCTCCAGTGCTTTCTGTTATGAGCACGATTCTGGAGAGGTTGGACAGCACGATTCCTTCAACAGCGCGATTCTGGACAGGCTGGGAGCGATACTGAAGATGCATTTATGCTTCTTGGCCATGACAGATGTAACTGTCTGTCTGCTAAGATACAACACTATCTGTATGCAGTCTGGTCGCAGGCACATCAATACTTCGCAACAAGTTCGTTCTCGATGCATTAAAATTCGTCTCATGTTAAGCTCCTCCAGTACTTCCTGTCGCCGCTAAAGTGACTACGTGACCTAAGTAGCAAACGTAATTTATGGGTTCGACCTGTTTCATGCTTGTCTTGACTGGTATATGGATTAAAGTACAAAAAAAAGGTATTATGTCTTTCAAACAGTCTACATTCGTTATATTTCGCTTCCTTTAACTTCCACATAATGCCCATCAAAAGCTTCATTTACATTGCTCACAGCATAACATTCAGCTCCATGCCACCGAATGCTTTTTTATAACAATAAGTGGGAGGAAAACAGGGAACTGATGTGCCCTTGCAGTTTTCAGCAGCTCGTTTAGAGCAAAAACAAAGTTCGCTAGTTATAATTCCATCTGAATCCAATCTGCCCCCTAATATGTGCTCAACAAGGAATAATAATGTCGAGAAGAGTTTATAATCATTGGGAAGAGTTTACAAATAGTCTTTGTGAAGAGTTTGTAGATATCACTAAGCACATCTTCCGCCGCTTCTTGCACAGCAAATCGGTTCAATTGACCTGTCTCTCTCTCGGGCAGATAACGACTGAAACGGAAAGCGAAAGCTCCCCAAAATTCGTATCCATTTGACAGGTGTGAACTTGAAAGTTTCATATGACCAAGGAGATTCCTTGACCGGATGAGAAACTTCCCTGATAATGGCGTTTTGGTTTTTATGTAATTTAGCGGGGCTGTTAACCCCATGGCTCTTCGCGGAGCTGTTAACCCCAGTGTCTTCTTGAGCTGAACCCAACGATACTGCACGCCGCCTCTGTTCGTGAGGGGTGAATGGAATCGAAGCGCGGGTAGACTTCGTTCCAATTCACTCTCCTGGTGTACTGAAGGCACAGCTGGCGCAATGTGTCGTCTTCCGCCTCCGGCCAAGGTTGCCGTCCCCGATGTTGTTGGGGACGGGTATTTATCTCGCCACCCTCAGTAGTGCGTGGAGCCTATTCAAGAGGGTTGGTGGCGAGGGAATTATCATTACCCGCAAATTGCGGGCGTCCTGGGTTTAGGGTTCGGGACGCACCCTCCAAAAAACCCATATTAATAATACCAATATTATTTTCACCCATGTTAAGATGGGTGGCACAAAAGGTCGGATAAGGAGGCCAAACGCCTACCTGCGGCTGCGTCCATCCGCTTAGGTGCCTTGAACCCTGATAGGGAGAAACTTTTCTCGTGGGCTCCACCTGCAC